CTGAGGGTTCTAGAGGGGAGAAGGGTGGGAGGATGGGTTAGCCTGGTGGTGGGTATTGAGGAGGGCACATTCTGCATGGAGCACTGGATGTTATGCACAAACAATGAATCATGGAACACTATATCTAAAACTAATGATGTAATGTATGGGGATTAACATAAGAATAAAAAAAAAAAGAAATCTTGGTTGCATATTTTTCCCATTCAGAACATTGAATATTTCCTTCTTCTCTTTTCTGGCTGACATGTCTCTGTGGAGAGATCAGCTGCTAACCTCATCTACCTTCCCTGGTAGGTTAAGGACCTGTTTTCCCTTGCTGCTTCCAGAATTTTTTCTTTGTCTGTGTATTTTGTGAATTTGACTATGATATGCATTGGTGATGGCCAGCTTTTGTTGAATTTAATGGGTGTTCTCTGTGCTTCCTGGATTTTGATGTCTGTGTCTTTCCCCAGCTTAGGCAAGTTTTGGGCTATAATTTGTTCGAATAAACCTTCTTCCCTTTTATATCTCTCTTCATCTTCTGGGACTCCTATGATACAAATGTTATTATGCTTTACTAAGTCACTTTTTCCCTAAGTCTACCTTCATGGTCCATTACCTTTCTTTCTTTCTTCTTTTCAGCTTCACTACTTTCCATAATTTTATCTTCTATATCACCCATTTGAACCTCTGCTCTATCCTTGTTTTTATGGCCTCAATTTATGCATATTGGTTATAGCAGTTTTAATTTCAGCCTGACTAGATTTTAGTTCTTTTATCTCTTTAGTAAGGGATTCTCTAGTTTCTTCTGTGATTTTTTTTGAGCCTGGCTAGTATCCTTATAATTGTTTTAAATTCTAGTTCAGACACCTTACTTATATCTGTATTAATTAAATCCCTGGCTGTGAGTTCTGCCTCATGTTCTTTCTTTTGGGATGAATTTCTTTGTCTCATCATTTTGTTGAGAAAAGAAAAGAAGAAAGGAAAAAGAAAACCATCAAAAAAAACAAAAATCAAAGAAAAAGAAAAACACACACAAAAAAACAAGAAAAACGAAAATAAAAAACAAGAAAACCAAACCAAACCAAACCAAAACAAAACTAGATCCTGGGTGTTTTTTTGGTCTGCTTGTTAAAAGAATCTAGGTCCCAAAATAAACAATAATAATAATGATAATAATAATGTAAAATACATTAAAGTAAAATGAAGGTAAACTATATATAAAAATTAAAAGTTAAAAATAATTAAAAAAAGAAATTGGAAAATATAAGAAAATAAGTGAAAAAATAATAATTTAAAAATAAAGAATAAAAGTAAAACAGAAGCTAGATCCTATTTCCCCTAGAGCTGAAACTTTGCAGCAGTCTATGATCAATAAACTTGGTGTGAACTAGTTATTTGTGCTGGTCTTCTGAGAGAGGGACCAGCTGTGCTGATTGTCAGGCTGACTTGTTTGAGTAGAAATGCATCTCCAGGGCACAAGGAGGGCGGGGCTTGGTGTATGCAGCTCCAGCCTCCAATAGGTGATGCTATTTTGCACCCTGAAAGCTTTCAGCACTGTTGGGCAGATGAAAATGGCTGTGCCCTGCTCTCTAGCCTCAGAGCTGAAAGTTGGGACCCCTACACTTCAGTGAGCCTTCACAGAAGAGCAGTCAATCACCCTATTTGTGTCCCCAGTTTTCCTCTGAACCCTACATTCACCCTGCCTGTGTTCAAGCCTTTTTATCTCAGGTGCACCTCAGAGTTTCCAAAATCTAAATTTCAGGGACTCCCACGACAGGGACACACACTGTTTCTGTGGGGAGGTTTTCACTAGGCTTGCTGGCCCATCCCAGGAAAGCGGTCAGACAACCACCTGGTGGTTTGCAGTTTATAGCAGAAAGCTGGCACCAGGACCTGCTGCTCTCTGCTGGATTCCCAGCTCCTAAGCCTGGGAACGGCACAGCATCTTGGTGCTATCCATTACCTGACATTTTAATGTGTTGTTAACTGTGCTGAATTAACTGTTGCTTGAGTTTTCCTCTAAACTTTCCCCTCTCTGATTCCAATTGTAATATTTCAGCTTCAGTAATATTTCAATATGTAATATATGGCTTCAAGTAGGATTGCATGAAAAAGACTCTCTTGCTACGTTGTTGAGTGCACAACTTAGTGAAAGTAATTGTGTAATACAGGTGGGAAAAACAATGTCAATGAAGGAAGCCTTGAAAGAGTGACTGGGAGGTTTCCCAAAACCTAACAGATCTTCAGGTGCTTCTTGAAGTGTTGCATCAAAAGTCTTTAATAGGAACACTTGAATGGCTCAGTCAGTTAATATAGATTCTTGATTTCAGCTCAGGTCATGGTCTTAGGTCATGAGATCAAGCTCCATGATGAGCTCGGCATGGGGCTCTGAGCTCAGCAGAGTCTGCTTGAGATTCTCTTTCTCTGTCTGCCCTTCCCCACTCACACTCTCTCTCTCTGAATAAATAAATAAAATCTTTTTTAAAAAAGTCTTTGGGGTGCCTGTGTGGCTCAGATGGTTAAGCATCTGCCTTTGGGTCACGTCATGATCCCAGGGTCCTGGAATCGAGCCCCGTGTCAGGCTCCTGGCTCAGAGGGGAGCCTGCTTCTCCCTCTCTCTCTGCCTGCTTCTCCCCCTGCTTATGGTCTCTCTCTCTCTGTATCTCTGTGTCTCAAATGAATAAATAAAATCTTTAAAAAAAAGTGAAAATTTTAAAAAGTCTTTAATAATATCTGTGACTTAATCTTTGGAGTCAAGGGGAGAGATGTAACAAAACCTGGGATGATGAGCATCCTAGTACTAACCAGTGAGGGCCCAATACTGGAGCTGCATCCTGAATGCTTTGGGCCACATAGGACCTTTGCATAATTATTACTCAAGGGAAAGAGGGACAGAAGCTCCAGTAAGAACTAAGATAAAACTTCACACTAGCCTGGTTGGCTGAGGGCTCAAAGATTCAATTTTGTTTTTAAATGAGTTAACATAAACATTTAAAGATTAGTTTAGGAACAGAGATTAAGGTCTGCTATATAAATATATATTACTATAATTATATATTATATTATATTATGTATTTTATTACATTATTATATATAATTATTGATATCTTTATATAAATATATAAAAAAGAGATAACTTAAAGAACTGAAAGAACAATCTGGTATTAATAGTTACTTTGGAGGAGAAAAAAGAATACTGAAGGGAAAGGAAGGATTATCAATTTATATTTTATATTGTTCTGAATTGTTTGAGTTTGATACAATGAGTTATAATTTTATTATAATTAAAAATGAAACAGCACTGATGATGATAAAACTTACAGTGGCCAATTCAACATTCTGTGGACCAACCTCAGTGCATCCCAGCTTTTCACACTGGCCCCTCTCTTCAGGAAGTTTTATTCCCTGCTTCACTTAGTCACTGCACATTGATTATTTTCTGGCCTCAATCCTGTGATGACAACTTTTATTCTTTGCAATACCAGTCCATCCTGTCACAACCCCCACAGTCACTTCCTCCAAACAGTGCATTCAAGACTCGACCACTGACATTCCCAGCTGAGCCTCTGTCCATCACAGGAGCCAACTGGGATTCTGGTCTCTGCCAGTAATGGTACATTTTGGTAAACATGGTGCCTTCCTTCAAAATGTGTGAGGAGACACATACCAGGGAAATAAATGATCTATTTGTATGGTAGATATTTACAGAAGTCATTGAATTTTAAAATACAGCACAATATATGTATAAACAGATTAAGAGAATTTCAGGTTAAATCCAGTGTCTAGGATATTGACCAGCTCCAAGAATATCTGCCTTTTTGTCTCTGTTCTGTTCATCATCCTCCCCCGAAATCAAATGCAGAACACTTACATTCCCATGGAGTGATCTATATTCTCAGATAATTACTCACCGATCACCTTTAGCTCCAAAGTGGCTTCTTCAAAGTCACTGTCTTTTTTAAAAGAACACTTGTACATTCCATTGTCTGAGATCTGGAGACTGTAGATTCTCACAGCTACTCTTCCCTCTGTGATGTAATCTTTCACCAACTCTGCTCTCCCTTTGAAATCTACCAGCTGTTCTCCCGCCTGCTCCATTCCATCCTTATATACATACACAGCCTCTGAGAACTGGGAGCGGAACCACCTCAGCTCCATGCTCTCCACATTCATGGCTGGGGACACACGACAGGGCAGCACTGTGTCTGTGCCCAGCATGGCCACAATTGGCTCTGAGGGGCTGATAACCAAGAATGAATCTGTGGAATAGAGCCACAGGGAAGAGAATATCAGTGACCTGCCCTGGCATTGTGGAACACAGCATCATTATTGGCCCAGGAGAACCCCAGAGACATTCTGTCATTCATACGCCAGTTCTCTGCAGCACACATTCAGGCTGAAGATGGCAGTGAACAAGACAAAAAACATCTCTACCCAATCAACAGGGTAATCTCTTGTTAAACAAATGATTTTTTAATTGCAATGGTGATAAATTCTATAAAGAAGGAGGGAAGAGTGCTGGGAAATCATGAAATCAGAGTTTTTAATTAGGTCTTGGCCATCAGAAAATGCATTCTTCATGAAGAAGAGACCTGAATGAATCAGAAAAAAATTAGTGAAATAATGGCATCTGATTCTTCTCTCTAATCATATAATAACTTATTTGCCCTCATATATGGGCAGATAAATCATTATATCAAAATAAAGGATTTAAAATTAGCCCAGGTATATACTGAGTAGTGATGGAGTAATTTAATCTTCTGTTCAGAGAATAAGAGAATCTAAGAATATAAAATACAAAATATTGTTACCTGAGCCCCACATGGACACCTGGAGAAGTAGGATAGAGAAAAGGTCTCTTAGCAGAGAGAAGTCCAAGGAACCCACCATCTTTCTCAGAGCAGACAACAGTATGACACGTAGTAAGGTCCTGAAAATAGCTGGAGTAAAGACAAAAATGGAATCCATAAGGTAAAAATAATCATAGCTAAGGCAGTTCACAGTGATTCTAAGAAATGGCCTCCAGAAGCTCCAGAAGTAGTGTGTCTCTCTCGGGGAACATCAAGGAAGCCTTTAACACTCACAAAAAAGACTCTTTGTTTCCCTTTTCCAAGGAAACAGTCTTCATCTCAACAACCATGTTCTACAGTGATAAATTTGTCCACAATCTCTCTAAACTCTTCTCTAACTCAAGAACATCTTGTCCAGTGGACAGAGAGACAGAGAGGAGACGATGGGCACCCACAGAAAGAGATGGCTTTAGCACAAACACTAATTTGGCCTCAATGAATTCCACCCCCTCCCCACATTCCTATATGATGGAGGGGCATATATAACTTGGCCTGTCCCCTGCCAACCCCTAGAATCCTTGCCCAAATGCGCTTAGTTCCCTCTCTCTTGCCCATCACCCACAAAATACAAAACTCACACCTTTTAAGTTCTTCTTACAGAGATGAAGTCATCCGGAAACTTCTCAGACTCATGGCCACAGGCACCAGGGGATAAATACTCTCTGCCATTCCCCCCAGTTACCTGCTCTTGGCTGCCCACAGGCCTCTCCTGTGAGACTTTCTCCAAAATGTCAAGAGGATCTCAGACTTTACAAATCATGGGGCCAGGTTTTTTTAAGGGGGTTCAGACAACTGAGAGAAAGATGGCCCCTGCACGGAATCTCTCAGCAGTACACTTCTCTTTGGCCACCCTGACACACTAAAAACTGAAAGCAAAATAAGATAAAGAAAGCAAACTTTGACCTGTCATAATAAGTTTATCTAATGATTACATACTTACTTACAAAGTATAGAGGGGATCAAAAGCAAGTGATTTCTTTCTTTCTGAGAAGTATATTGTCTAGGTTAGTAGCCTAGATATTAGAACTTGATGACCTGAGTTAAAATGCTGGTGAGACTATTTATAATTTATGATTTTGAGAGAGTTATACAGCCTCTCTGTGCCTCAGTTTCCTCATGTGACAGTGTGTTGAATACTAGTATCTACCCTAAGTTTTGGGTGAAGAGTACATGAATGTATTTAAAGCACTTAGAAGAGTGTCAATAACTTATAAATTATGTGTAGGTTGTTAACTATTTTTATTTTAATATCTTGCTCACTCACCACAATATATCTACCATTTCAATGATGAATTTTCATCTTCCAGTTGGACCCCTCATTCCATTAGGCAGGAAACTGAGAAGACATGGGCATATTCACACTCTCTCACTCTTCTCCCAGACAGAAATCTGGTTTTTATCCATCTCAACTAGGATAAAAGAAAAACAGTATAAAATTCCCCAAATGATTCTCTGAGACTTTCATCTTCCTTCAGTGCTATAAATAATGGAAGTGATAAGGATGAGATTACTGTCCCCTACCTACATAAATCATTTTAGTTTTGAAGATCCTTCAAATTCTATGAATTCTAGAATAATTGTTTCTTAGAATCACAGAAAGAAATTCTGAATTGGAGACTGACAAATTTTAAAAACTCTACTTTTTGAAATTCTATATCTAAGATTGAACATCTATATATGGTTTATAAGAGACATAGCAAAACAAGAAATAAATGAATACAAACCAGACATATTCTAACACAATTGTAGATATGGCACTATTAATTTTAAAACAAAAATGACATTCAGAGAGAAATCATTCAAAGAAACAAAATTGCTGTTTCAAATAGATACATTTATTAACAGCATGGACTTTCAAGTATTGCATGGTGCTAATAACATAAAGCTGGATTTAAAAAAGCAAAATCAGGAGGAGCAAGATGGTGGAGGAGTAGGAGACCTGGACTTCGTCTGGTCCCAGGAATTCAGCTAGATAGGGATCAAACCATTCTGAACACCTAAGAACTCAACAGGAGATTGACGAAAAGAATAGCAACAACTCTCTGAACAGAAAAGTGACCACTTTCTGGAAAGTAGGACGTGTGGACAAGTGAATCTGAGGTGATATTCGGGAGGTTAGACGGCGGGGGAGGGGGCCTCTGTCAGCCGCTTCTGGCAAGTGATAGA